TAAAAATCGCCATACGAATAATAATCGTGAAACTGAAAATATTAACAATAAGCATAAACGTCCTCATCATAAAAGTAAAAAGTGTAGTGCTGATCATAGTGAAAGTAATGAAAATGTTGTTGAAATGTAGAATAATACTAAATGCGAATATGCATGGATATATAAATGGTAAATGGAAATGATAACATGAATGTGCGAACCATAGAATAATACGAATAGGAATCCTACGAATGGTAATAGTAATGACGATACGAATGACGACAATATTAGAAATAATAAGGATTATAAAACCCATAAAACTCGGGCAAGCACTCTCGACAAACCGTCCTGAGATGAGGGGGTCTTCCGCAGCTGGTCTGACGTGAAAGGAGGGGGGCCTGGAGGTCCTCCACCCCCCTTCCCCCTGATCCCTCTCCCCTCGCTCTCGCGTGCCCTCCCCTCGCTCTCGCGTGCCCTCCCCTCGCTCTCGCGTGCCCTCCCCCCTCCCCTCGCTCTCGCGTGCCCTCCCCTCGCTCTCGCGTGCCCCTGATCCACCCTCCCCTCGCTCTCGCGTGCCCTCCCCCCCTCCCCTCCCCAACCCGAGGGGGGTGGGTCCAGAGCAGGCGCGGTAAGGCCGACGAGCCCGTGCCCTGCAGTGGACCCCCCCGCCCGGCGACGGGGCGAGCGGGGGGCGCCAGAGGAACCAAAAGAGGCACAGAACTGCGGCATGTTCGCGTCGTGACGAGCCCGGCGTCGTGACGAGGTCCTCCTCCTCCTCCTCCTCCTCCTTCTCCTTCTCCTCCTCCTCCTCCTCCTCCTCCTCCCTCCTCCTCCTCCTCCTCCTCCTCCTCCCTCCCCCTCCTCCTCGTCCTCCGTCTCCTCCTACTGCTCCTCCTGCTGCTGCTGCTGCTCCTCCTCCTCCTCCTCCTCCTCCTCCTCCTCCTCCTTCCGGCGTCGGTTCCTGACAGCGCAGGGATCGTTCGAACTTGCACGACCAGCCGCTTCAGAAAAGAGCCGGGTCGTTCCACTGTGGGCCAATGCCAGGCCGCGGGCGGCATTCGCCCTCAAAGGCCGGCGCTGGGGGGTCGCCGCCGGTCGACCCGACGCGGACCTACCGCAAGCTGCCGGAGCTCCGCGCCAATTGCTGGGATCAGCGCTGGGCCCCCCTCCCTGTCGCGCGGAGCGAGCCAGCGGCAACGCCGGAGGCGCGGCCAGGGGGCCCCGGGCAGATCCCAGAAATCCGCGCGCGGAGCGCCGAAAACCGATGCGCATGGGGATGTGTCTTCTTCGAGCGAGGGCTTCCCGCGTCCTCTGTCGAGCAGGGGCCACCCGGTGGCGGCGGCGGCTGCGCAGGGCACGCGAAGGTCCAGAGGGGCATCGTCGGGGCGGAGCGATGCGGTCGGGCGGGCGGGGCCGCGGGCGCGCGCCCGGGCTGGGCGAGAGGGCAGCGAGAGCTTGAGCATCGCCTGGGTCCCCAGCGACACGTTCAGAAGTGCTTACCTGATCCCTGTCCTCACTGACATGGCTTTGACCCCACTGGCCGACTTGCCACCCTAGGTAGTGATGCCTGTGCTGTTCCTTGTGGGTCACACGGGACATGTCCCCACCTGGGCGGGCGGCCCGGCGGGGCTGAGATACCATGGCCAAGTGGGGGATGCAGATCGGTTACACGATGCTGACATGAGACTAGGTGGTTCTGCCGATAAAGCTGGCAGTGCCCGCGATCGTGGATTCGACAGCATCGGAGGCATCCGCGAGATCGAATATGACAGCGCGAAGGCCTTGCGCATCGACCTTGGCGGCATCTACTGAGAAAATGGGTTGTGGCATCCATGGCTGCAGCGACTGCAGCAACGACAAAGGTGATAATGACGGCGACTGTTACTGCTACTGCTACTGCATCTGTTACGCGGATTTCAGCCAGCGCTCTGAAAAGACCTAGCTGGGCTATTTTAGACCCGAAGCTGTGATGTGGGGGGAGCAGGTCAGGAAAACAATGCTAGACTCCCGCATCCTCAGTGAAGCTCGTGAGTCATGCCCGTTGCGTCTCGTCCCAATAATTCGCCGCCTCGCACGACTCACCCCCACAGTGGCCTGCAGTCGTCTCCTCCCAACGCCAGCCATGCAACGTGCGATCGTGGAGTTCCTGCGTTCGCTGAAGTCGTCGACGGTGACTGCCACAACGGCAGCCACACGCTACGGCCACCACCAGAGGCACAGCCCCAGTCTCCCGAGCACTCCATCGGCAGTGCACTGTGGGGGGAGCGGGGAAGCGAAGGCGACGACGCCCCTCCTGGGAAGGGGAGGAGCGTAGGAGACGGCCACCGTGCCACCAGAAGAAGCGCTGCATTGGGAGCGAAGGGGCGTCTGCGGCCGCGGCGAGCCTCGCCCACGACGGGCACTCCGACCTGTGCACCTCCAGACCGCCCCCGGGAGCCAGACCTCCTCCCGAGCCCAAAGGGGTCGTCATCGCAGGGTCGTCGCTGTGCGCACACCAGTCGTTGGGGGGCGCAGAGGTGGGGTGGGGGGGCAGAGGTAGCGCTCAAGGAAAAATACTCCAGATTTCGTAATAAAAGGGAGGGGGTCTGGACCCTCCAAGACAAACCATTTCAGACCCCCCCCCGTGGGAGAACCCTCCAAAACATCGTCCCCAGACCCCCCCAGGCCGTCCAATATAGCCTGGAAGAGACCCCCCCCCCCGAAATGAGACCCCCCTCCCTTTGTTACGAAATCTGGAGCACTCGAAAGGGGCCGTGGAAGGAAATGTGAGCACATCCAGCTGGACGTTTTTCTCTCTGGCCCCACCTTGGGATGACCCCCCGTCCGCGAGCCCCCGAAGCGGCCCGCGCCAGCTCCGAGGGCCCCGAGGCGCGGTCGGGGCGGCCGCGCGCCGGCTCTCGAGGGAGGGGAGGCTGGCTGGACCCGGGATCGGTGCGCCCACTGGTCGGAAGGCAGCGCGCAGAGACACAGAGCAGGCAGGCGCGGAGAGTCCGCCGCCGCGCCTGCGGCGGCTGGTGTTCGTCGAGTCGCTCCGTGTGCTGCGAGGCGACCATCGGGGCCCCCCGGCGCAGCAGGCCCAGGGTGCGGTCATTTGTGTGGCCAACTCCCTGAGCTTTTTCACTGCCGGGCAGACATGGCCCCAAAAACTACACCCTGCGAAATGCTTAAGAAATCATGGGTTAAGAAATTCAGAGTCTCAGAACTTGAATAAAAACCCAAAATTTCCATTCAAATCTTAGGATTTACATCTAAAAGTTAAGAATAATCGAGACTCTGGCCGAAAACTTAGGTTTTCTTAAGCATCGCCTAAGGTGTACAGAGCGTGGGCGCGGGGCGATGCGTGGCCCCTCCCCCCCCCCACACGGCCCTCGCAACCCCCGCGCCCGCCCGAGCGCCGTGGCGGAATCGCGCGGCAGCACACCTGGATAGACCTCGCTTCCGCCCGCCTCCTGGAGAGGAGGGAAAACCGCTCGACGCTTGCAGCGGCACAAGGCACCTGGAGTCACGACCGATGGGTGCAGTCCATCTATGTCGCGCGGAAGGACGCGCGCACCAGTCCCAGATCTCAACAAGCCGTGGCAGAGCTGGCGTAGATGCGCGATCCGCTTCTCCACGGGGGGAGAGGGCGAGGAGAAAGGGAGAGAGACAGAGAGAGAGAGAGATGGAGAGGGAGAGAGGAGAGGGATAGATAGGGGTACGGATGTAAGCATAAGAACGCACATTGCGTCAATGTGCACGCCATCCTCCACAGAGATTCCACAAACGACTGCCAATGGCACAGCACTCCGCAATATTGGAGCCCAGCGACAAGCGGGCAAAGCATGCAAAGCACAAGGCTGCTCCAGGAAACCAAATCCGACCTGGGAACACGGCAAGCCGCACCACACGACACCACGTGCAGTGGCATCACCCAGGCACCCCAGGTCACCACACGGCCAGCCCTGTGCAATTCGGACGCCGAGTTCTGGGACATCGGGGACACCAGGGACCAGAAATTTCCTCCAAATGTTGCTGGCTACACAGGAGCTGAAACAGTACGCATGCCCAGACATCCGCCCACTTTCATTTTTTCATCTGCGGTCCCAGAGCCCATCCCCAAGGGTAGTTTGTCGCCCCAGAACCGGTTCTCTTTGTCCTGAGGCTTGCAAACGGCCCCCCAGGGCTGAGATCGACAAGACGCCCAGATTGAAAAAAACGTATCGTTGGAGATCTGGGGGTTCGAAATAACTTGCACACACACACACACATACACAGACACACACAAACACACACACACACAGACACACACACACACACGCACACACACACACACACACACACACACAATAGAGCGAGAAACAGCGGGGAGGCAGGCAGAGGAACGGGTCGACGAGACGCGCGGCAGACCCCTCGCCCGAGAATCCGCAGGGCAGAGACTCCGCGCGCCGAACGAGGCCGATGGGGCTCCGGGAGCAGCGGCGGCGGCGTCTCCCACGCCGACGGCGGGAAGCCCGAGGCGGCAAAAACCAACGAACGAACGATCGACAGAACCGTGCGCGCTACGCCGGTCGAAGATCCTCAGAGAATGTGTTAGCGCCGACCAGCGCTTGTCCACTGAAGCCCTGCAAGACGACTCAGCCGATGCAGTGAGGACCGAATGGGGTAAACACACACACACACACACTCGACTGGCACATGTCCCGAGGATCATCGAGCTGAGAAGCCCGCCCGTGCCCACGAGGGCATGGAGTGGAGGCCGTAAGCTCGACAGGGAAGAGCACGAACACGAGCAAGGAGGAACACGGAACATGGACATGGGCAGCCCTGGGCGGCAGCAGCAGACGGGGAGTGAGGAAGGCCAGGGGAGAAGGCAGAGGTGGGAGCAGAAGACACTGTCAAAACCCGGCGTCGCATCTGTTTTAACACCGGGCAGGTTCGCCCAGTTTCGGGCTCCGGGACCCTCACAGATCGATCCGGCTCGAAAAAGCCATAGGAAGACGGGGTCGAAGCTCCCGTCGAGCTTGTCCACGATGTTGCACTTTGTTTCGCAGCATCGGATCTCATGGGAATGGGAAGGCCAGGGGCGGAGGCAGAGATGTGGGCATGAGTCACTGCACGGGGCGGCACCGCTGCGTGGGGAGGAGGGCACTTTCCAGCTGCACAGCAGGGCCCCTGCTCACCCGTTCTCTCTCCCACCTCTTCTCCAGCGCAAAACTCCCGAGCCGCAGATCACCGCCCGTCTCGCCACACTCATTGCGCCGCGGACATCTGGGTCATCAGCATGCTCCCCTTCCGCTCCAAAAGCCTGTTGAGCATCTCGGACGCGGTCCTCGCCTTGTGCAGGGCCTGCTTGAACCTGTGGCTTGAGGCCTGGGACATGCCGTCATTACGCATCTCACCCTCGGCCGACTCGAGCTCCTCCAAGGCTGCCTCGAGCACATGGAACTGCGAGCTCACGGTCTTCGCGGCGAAGCCCCTCTTCTTGGCCAACATCCTCTGCTCGGCAGCCTGGATGTCGCCCTGAGCGTCCACAACTGCCACCTCCTTGTCTTTCTCCTCCTCCATCTCGTCGATCTCCTCCTGGAGCTCGGCCGCCCTCTCGGCTGCGGCTTCCATCGTGCCCTTCCTGCCGTTCTCGATCATCCATTGGGGCACTTCCTGATTCGCCTCCTTCAGCTCCGCGGCCTTGCACGCTGCCCAGCGGTTGGCCCACTTGGCGTCTTCCTGCACGAGCTCGTCCATCCACTTGGGAACTTCCTTGCCCTCGGATCTCAAACGCCTCGACTCCTGGACCGCCCACCTAGTCTTGCCCCTGTTCTCGTCGTCGGTCACCATCTTGTCCATCCACGCGGGGACCGTCTCGTTCTGCTCGCGCATCTGCTTCACCATCTTCTTGGTCCACTCGAGGGTCTGGTGCTGCTGCATGCGCTCCTTCCTCTGCGCCCAGGTCAGCTGGGTCTCGTTCTTGCACCACGTGGGGGCGCTCTCCGGCAGAGGACCAAAGGAGCCCTCCACGAAGCTGAAGTGTTCCTCGCCATCGACCACGAGCATCCCTTCGCTCACAGAGGAGGCGCTGGACTTGGAGGCGGCCGAGGGGGTATGAGCTGGATGAGCCCCAAAATAATGTCAAGAGGAGGAGCCGAAGGCAAATCCGCTCCAAATCCGTCCCTGGACCCCTCCCAGGGTCGAAACTGACAAGTTGGTCGAGCCGCGTCCAGCCGCGGCGACGAGGGAGCCCCTCTCTCCCCGCTTCTGGCCAGAACCAGTGCTGGGCCACCTCAGCCCCCCAGCCGGCTCCAACGCTGGACTGCAGAAGAAAAGTGCCGTCCTGCTGGGCGATCGCGCCGCCGGCAAGCAGGGAAGCGAAGCAAACTGCTGTGCGCGCCATGATTTTGCGGACAGGCGCAGAAACTCGATGAAGATGTATGTTAGTGTGTGGAGGATCCTGAACCAGAGCGGCCAAACGAACTGTGGGAGAAAAACTAGGTGCACATTCCCACGCTGTCCGTTTTCCACGCGACGAGCGTCGGGACTCTCTTGAATGGTTCGGCAGGGGAAGAGGAAGGATGGAGGGAGGAGAGGAGGGAGGCGAGAGGATGGAGGGAGGAGAGGAGGAAGGATGGAGGGAGGAGAGGAGGGACTCTCTTGAATGGTTCAGCAGAGGAAGAGGGAACCAGCGAAGCGGGAGGCGAGAGGATGGAGGGAGGAGAGGAGCAGGCCCGAGGTGAGAGGAGGCAGGAGGAGGGCAGAAGAGAAGAAGTAGGGAGCAGGGAGGGCGGACGAGCAGAGAGACGGAAGGAGGGCAGACAGGAGAAGAGAGGAAAGACGAAGGGAGGAGGCAGAGCAAGACGGAAGGAGTGCGGGAAAGGAGGGAAGGTGGAGAAGAGAGAGATATAGAGAGGAGAGGAAGACAGGAGGGGAGGAAGCACGAGGGGAAAAGGAAGGAGGAATACAGGAAGGGAGGGGAGGGAAATCTCAGAAGAAACCAAGGGGAACGAGCCGGAGACCGAAGGGGAAGGAAGAAACGACTAGAGAAGAAGGGCCTCTCGAGGGGTTTTTGCAAGCGTCCTGGGGCGTCTGGGGACCGTTCCTGAGGGAGTCCCGGGAGCCCTCTCGGAATGTTCTCGTGGCCACCTGTGAAATTTTTGGACGCCATCCTGAATGTATACCGGGGGCCTTGAGGGGGGCGTGTTCAGGCTGTTCGGGGGGGCATCGAGGGGCCTCTCGGGGCGTTGTTGGCGGCCTCGTGGGGTCGGCTTAGGCGGCCAGTGTGCTCTCCAGGAAGCCTCTCGGGGCCCTGCAGCACCTTCCTGGACGCCCTTGGGGCCCTCCGCTGATTCGCCGAAGGCGTGACGACCAGCAAAACGCTGGAGGACCAAAAACCACACGACTCATCAATTAGCGCTGGCTTCCAATAATTCCGGCGCGCTGGCGGGCTAGTCGGCTCGAAAAATATCGACGGAAGTTTTGTCTTTTTGGGGCCAAATCATTTTCTCAAAAATTGACAATTCGTTAGAGATCAAACATATTTTCTCCCCATATTTGATCTTACTCCCGCTCGCCATCTTGATGTCAGATCGATCGGGTGGATACGACTATCAGAAAACACTCTGGCAGGATCGGCCGTTGAGTGTCCTCTGGGAAGGTGCTGCCGATTTTTTAAACTTAACTCGAGCTGTAGGTGAGCTACAGAGCTGTTCGGCACAGCAATCGAAAGGAAAATATCAGGGGCAGTGGTCCTGAGTATCTAGATGCCTGAGATCGGTCTGCTTCCAGAGTTGGGACCAAATAACTTTTCGAACTCTGCTAATTTTTTAATAGATGATGCTAGTTTTCTCAATTGCATTCGAGCTGTAGGTTGGCTATGGAGCTCAGAAGCACATTTCGAAACGAGAAGTCCTCAGGCAGATTCGCCTACGGTATCATGACGTCTGAATTCGGTCAAAAACCACAGCTGCGACTGAAAAATTATTCGCACTGAAAATAACTGGAGGCCAGCGGTAAACCGTCCACCTTGGTTACCGCCGGCAACTCGTACGAGCTTCCTCGCGATATACACTGGGAGCCGGCGGCAAACCGTCAACCACCAGGTTGCCGCTGGGACCCTCGTAGAGCTCTTAACACGCGCATCAGTGTTCTGAATACATGAGGAAAGCTGTCTTGCATATTAGCTTGAAAACTGGAATATTATGTTCGGCTTTATACGAAGTGGGTTCCTCCACGTCTGCTGATAGTAGCATTGCAGCTTAGGCGTGAGAATTTGACAGGCACACGCGGCATAACCCACTACACGTGAGAAAGTACTGGTTCTCAAAATAAACTTTCAAATCTCTCGGAGCCAGCAGTAAACCGTCAACAAGATTACCGCCTGGACCCTCGCAAAGCTCTCGACACGCGAAGTAGTGCTCATGATACGACGAAAAAGAAAGCTTCCTTGAATATGAGCTTGAAAACTGGAAAAATGTATCTGCTCGGTTTTATATGAAGTCGGTTCCTCCACGTCTTTTGATGGCAACGCTGCAGCTACAGATCTGAATTTCACGGGCGAACGCGGCATGACCCACTGCACGTGAGAGAAATACTGGCTCTCAACAAGCATTTTCAAATCTCTGAGAAGGTTCCAAAAACGGAACCCAAGTCACCACGTTTGTCCGCCCAGGCCGGGTGGGCCAACTGGCTCCACCTCGCGCCGGAATTCCTCTAGCTCATCAATGCCGAAGAGCTCTACGAGGTATGAGTGGCATGCAAGCGCGGCAATATCGCATTCTGCGCGCCCGCGAGGGCGCGCTTTCATGGAGGAAGGGGCGAGGAAAAAGAGACTGGGAGCCGGCGGTAAACCGTCAACCTCGGTCACCGCCGGGAACTCGTAGAGCTTCCTTGCGATATACATGAATGGCATGCGGGGGCGGCAATCTCGCTTTCCGCGCGCGCGAGGGCGCGGCTTCATGGAGGAGGACGTGGAGGAGAAGAAGGAACGAGGAGGAGAAGCGAAGCAGGTAAAGGAGGCTGAGGAAGAGAAGGAGGAGGAGGAGGGAGAGAAGAGCAAGAAGGAGGAGAAGAAGGGGAGAAGGAGGAAGAGGAAGATGACGAGCCGGAGGGGAGAGGGTGGAAGGGGGAGAAAGGGGACGATGATGACGATGAGCAGGAGGATGAGGAGGAGGAAGAAGAGAAGGAAGAGGAGGAGAAAGAGGAGAAGGAGCGGATGGAGGAGGAAGAGGAGGAGGAGGACGAGGAGGAGGAAGAGGAGGAGGAGCAGGACGAGGAGGAGAGGAGAGGAGGAAGAAGAAGAAGGAAAAGGAGGAGGCGGAGGAAGAGGGCAAGTGGGAGGGGGAGGATGAGAAGGGGGAGGCGAAGGAGGAAGAGGAGGAGAAGTACGAGGAGAGATAGGAGGAGGAGAAGGAGGAGAAGGAAGAAAGAGGGAAAGGAGGAGGAGGAGCAGCCTACAGCTCGAATTGGGCACAGAAAACATCTGTAATCTCTCGCAAAATATTGCAGAATGCTCCGTTGTAGCTCTGGTAGCAGACCAATCTCGGACGTCTCGATACTATAGGCGACTGTCCGATGATTTCCTGTTGAACGGCGTGCTGCCCAGCTCCCTAGCTTGCCAACACCGTCTCTCATAAATACTGAAAGAATGCAAATGGCTATTTGGTGCCAGCTCTGGTAGCAGGCCGATCTCAGGCGTCTAGACTGTAGACTGATGCTTCGCAGCATTCCCTGTCGATTGGCGTGCATATCAGCTTCTTACCTGGCCTAGATCTCGAAGTCAATTCAGGCAACGCACATCATCTCTGGTAAAATATTTACAGTGCGAAAAATTGTCCAGCCGTAGCTGTGGTTGCAGGCCGAATTCAGACGTCCCGATACCGTGGGCGATCTTACCTGGTGACCTTCTGCTTCGGAAAATGTTTTTCATCTCACAGAACCAGCCTACAGCTCGAATGAAGTAGAGAAAAAACTATCATCACCCCTTGGAAACTTAGCGGAGTAGCTCTGGTAGCAGACCGAGTTCAGGCATCTAGATGCTGGAGACTAGCGCTGCTCTTCATTTCCTTTCGCTTGCTGTGCCGAACAGCTCTGCAGCTTACCTGCAGCTCGATTTACATTAAGAAAGTCAACATCATCTCTTAAGCAAGTTAGCAGAGCACGAATAGTTGTTGGATCCAGCTCTGGGAGCAGACCGAGTTCGGGAATCTAGATAATTGGCACTGGCGCTCCTGATGATTCCATTCCGATTGTTGTGCCGAACAGCTCTGTAGCTCATCTGCAGCTCGAGTAACATAAGAAAAAATGACCATCATATGTTTTAACATGTATATATATATACATACATATATATCCCACACACAAAACACAAAACAAACACAATAATTGGTTTGGCCCCAGCTCTGGTCACGGACCAAGTTCGGGCATCTAGATACTTGAGACTAGCGCTCCTGCGGCATATCTTTCGATGCTGCGCCGAACAGCTCTGTAGCTCATCTGCAGCTTGGGTAAGTTCAGAAAACCGACAGCACCCGCCAAGATGACACTCAACAGCCGATCCCGCCCACATGCTGTTTGACAGCACGATTCACCCAATCGACCTGACATTGAGATGGCGAGCAGGAAGAGGATCGAATATGGGGGAGAAATGTTAGAGCTCTAACGAATGGTCAGATTACTAAAATGGGAGACGGCGGTAAGCCGTCAACCTTGGCTTTTGCTTTGCTCGGAGCCCACAGGAAACGGAGGAGCCCCCGCTCAGGATTCAGGTCCGCAGCAGAGGAGCAGGTGCTCGACACCTTCAGCGAGGCGCTTGCTGGCCAAAAGCTCAGCTTGACAGACAGCGCAGGAGGGCGGGATGGCGGCAGCCTCGGAAGCTATGTCGCATATCCAAACGCCATGACAGAGATCGAGAGCAGGGCGAGGGAGCACAAATATGTCAATGACCCAGCCTATGCCAACACCATGGGAGGAGCGGCCGCCATCAAAGTAGCCACGAGTCCCTTTTATATGTTCCCGCTTGGTACTGTGAATACGCGGGTCGAAAGTGTAGTGAGTCTGGCCCGCGCGGGCCTTCCAAGTTTCAGCATCAGCACGCTCATTTCCTTCACGGTAGAACCCCTTCCATGGTTCTGAGCCCCAAGACGGCGGACTAAGCACAACATCGCAGGTGCAATGCAATCGATATAGAATGTTTTGTATACGCGCAATCGTGTCACAATACACTGCAGTACTACACGCATATCTTCCCACAAGCCAATTAACCACCACCTGGGAGCCCCCATGGAGCTCACTAGGGATCCCCATTGGCCTCATAGTTCCACGTACTGGCGTTCTCAAAGTTGAAGGCGAGACGTTTGGCAATATTATCGTTTTTCTCCTCGGTCTTCTCCTCCTTCTCCTCTTGGTTCTTTGGTCTCCAGGGCTGGGGCTCAGGAAGTATTACGTACTCAAGTAGATGTTGAAGTTCCCATTTGTTGCTCTATTGTTGCCGCCGCCGTTCTCGAAGCCTGCACAATAAGATTCCGAGGATTGGCGGCAGGGGCTGGAGGCTGGACTGACG